CCTGCCTGCCTGCTTGATTGCCCCTAACTGCTTCTGCCTGCCAGCCTGATCACCCCCTAACCACTCCCCTGTCAGCCTGATTGACGCCTAACTGCTCCCCTGCCGGCCCGATTGCCCCAAATTGCCCTCCTCTGCAGGCCTGGTCCCCCCCAACTGCCCTCCTCTGTAAGCCCGGTCGCTCCCAACTGCCCTCCCCTGCTGGGCTGTTCACCCCCAACTGCCCTCCCCTGCCAGCCATCTTGTGACAACATGGGGGCAGCCATCTTGTGATGACATGGGCATGGCCATCTTGTGACCACATGGGGGCAGCCATATTGTGTGAGGGCATGATGGTCAATTTGCATATTATCGCTTTATTATATAGGATAATAATAATATTATCCATAGATAATATATCTATAGTGGAAAAAGAACAATTTTCAAAATCATTGAAGAGGAGGGACTGTGTAACTGGTGAATTCTACTAAGAATCCCAACTTCATCTCTTAGTGATTTTGAGTCAATTGGTTAACCTACCCAGGTTTCTTTCACTTTATCTCTGGAAAAATTATAATAACACCTGCCCTTTGAACTGCCTGTGAGGGTGAAATCAGATGCTATATGTAATATCTGGGGATCTAAGATATGCCTAAGAACAGCTTAATCTTATTGCCCCAAGGTCCTTAGAGAATTACTAATCCATGAAGAGTGTCACAAAACAATGCAATATACAGAAAATCTTATTTTGTTTCCCAGAAACAGAATTGTAAAATTTATGATGTCCAGGAAACCAGTGGCTTAAATGCACTTAAGATTTATTGAAATGATTATTTTACTACATTGTTGGTGGCAGTCTCTCATCTGGACTATTTGTTTAAAGTTTTTTATTCCAACTCCATATTAGGTCAACAGATAATAATGAGAATGAGTACCATGTCTGGAATTTTATGCTGAGCCCTAAGACTACAACAGGCAGTCAAACATGCTAGGCATATACTTGACACAGGCTCTCATAGTCTGCAAGATTAACATTTCCCCTTGATCCAGTGGGGTGGGTCCAGTGAAATGGGCACTCATGAGTTTCCATGTAACATTCATTATAACAGTTTTGGAAACCCAGTACACACTTCATTGGATTTCCCTAAAATAGAATGAATGGGACCTGCTGAGTTCTATTTTAAACTTGTTTGCATATTATTCTTCCCTTTATTGCATATTTATAGCCTTAGGATTAGAAGAAAATTCCTGCATCCTGTCTAGTACTTAGAGCTCCATGTGGTGGTTCCTTTATA